GAAGAGATGATGGAACCCTGAAGAGGTCCATCCACAGAAAACCGACATGGAACGGCCAACTAACCCATTTATATAGTTGGATACCTTTGAGCCGAAAACGAGCTCTCATCATCTCACTAACTCATCGTATTAGAAAAATCTACAGCAGCGATTGCATGGAAGAGGAGCTCCTATTCCTCAAAAATATCCTGGCTCAAAATGGCTACCCGACACGTTTTGTCGAAAAGAACATGAAACTTAAACTAAAAAGAGAAGAATGCGATTCAGCGCCAAAGAAAACCCTGTATCTGAATCTGAATTTCAGGGGAGATTTTGCAGCCAATATCCTGAAGAGGAGAATATCCAGCTCTTTAAAGAAGACCTTCCCTGCAGCAACACTAAGAGTGACATTCTCTAGCCGTCCAATACTTCGAAACAACACGAAGGACAAACTCTCGCATATGACCAATTCAATGTGCATATACCAGTTCACCTGCTCGTGCGGAGCTAGGTACATAGGTCGTTGTATGCGCGTCCTTTCAAAACGTGTTAGAGAACATTACCCAGCGTGGCTGCAAAGAGGAGGCACCGGTTCAATCAGAAGTGCCATTATTGAACATCTGATCAACACCTCCCACAACATCTCAACTGATTCTTTCAAAGTAATTTACAAAGTCAACAGAAACCTACCAAAAGCAGTATGTTTCCGACTTCTCTGTACTGCAGAAGCCCTCGCAATATGCATCGAGAAGCCGGAGCTGTGTGTTCAAAAGAAATTAGTCCAACCTCTACAACTACCATGGACCTAGTTCGGTATGTTACCTTAGCTTCCGTTTTTGTTTTTTTCTTCTTTCGTTCTCTTTTTTCTTTTTGATCTTTTTTCGTTCGCTGTGTGTGTGATTCTTACTCCCTCAGTCTTCATTCGATTCACCCCATTTTTTCAGTTATAAAAACAGTTATTTTAAGTTTGTTTCCATGCTTTTCCTGTTCACATTTATAATTCGTTTAATAATAAAAAAAATTAACTATTTTACAATTATATCTTAATCCTGTGCAATTTTTGTGTTTCTAAGGCTCTTGTAATCTATATTCGCACCTCCTAACTCCCATCTCAAGTTGAAAATTATTATTTCAATTTTGTTTCCATGCTCATTTTTACACACTTGATATCCGTTCTAATCCTGTGTAATTTTGTTTCTAAGCCTCTCGTAAAAACCATATCTAGTTGGAAATAATTATCACCTTTTATTCGCCGTCGTAATTATGTAGAATCAAACAAGAATTGTCTCCATGTAAAATTATGTATTTAAATGCGATTGTACAGCTTTTGAAAATGAAATCGCCGAAAAGATATCTTTGCTGAACTTCGTGTTCTCTTCTTTCTAATGTCCATATGGGTGTTTTTCACAACTGTATCTGTTTTTCACATTCTGTCTTACCGCATATTTTGATTAAGCCTTCTATGTGTGTATTCTCTTCCAGACGTTTTTCAGTTAAAATTACTTTACTGTTTAATTTATCAGCTGAAAACATTGTTTTTCCTTTATAGAACAACATCTTCAACGGTGTTCATTTATAACTGATCAGGCAGAAACAGTTGAAAGTTAGGTAGAGACCTCTCTATGTATTCATTGCAATAAACAGGTCTCTCAAATGTATCATCTATTCTTCTCTTCAAGCTAATATCCAAGAAGTTAAATCGCCCGCCATCTTCTTATTCCATGACGAAAGTGATACTTCCATGTACATTCTTGTATAACTCAAGTATGTGCGACACAAATCATTGCATACAATGAATATGCTGTTTATATTATCTATGGTAAACTGCTGTCTCATTATTTGTACTTTTAAGCTTTGTATGTTGGAGGTTAGCCATTAATTTATCTGCCAATTCACGACCCAATAGACTACCCATTGCTACTTCATCAGCCTGGCATTACATTCTCCTGTAGAACTAGAACTGTATATTCCTGGTACATAACAAGAGAAGCTGCCTAAATCCAAGTTTTTCATAGGGAGGAGATCACTAAGTTGACAGATGTCGAGAGTTTCATGAAGCCGAACCTGTGTGAATAGGGAGGTCACATAGAAGAAGATCAGAAATTTATTGCACACCTTTTCAGTGAATTGTAACTACTTGCCCCTCAACTACCTTCTACTGCATTGAATGCGCGGTAAAGTCAGAAAACACACAGACTTATGCATCAGTAAGAACGTTAACTTTATTAAAAACAAAATAAATCAAATATATACACTACCAATGACTAATCTGATTGGTTGTATAAGGTCGAACATAACAAGTTGTCCAGTCAAACAATAACATAAACCTAAATGGCTTAATCACATTCACACAGTTCGAGGAGGTAAAATTTCACCAGCTTCCTTTGGAAATTGAAATTACTCAGATTACAAGTATATGTTCCACTTGATATCATAGATCGAAACCAAGGAAGCAATTATAAATTCATCAGACTACTGAATTAGTTGTGCTCTGTGAGCTGGTTGATTTAATTACAAAGCTTTCGTCAGCCTTCTAGACATCTTCAGCGCAGGTTTCAGTACAAAAACATTTTTCCTATATCTGACGATAACGCTAGATACCGATTAAACTATATATATTTTAATTCATAGAAAGCATAGAACTGAAACAAACATTTGAAAAGTGATAATATCTCTTTGTAACTGTACCTCATCCAACAGTTGTACGACAATGCTACATGCCAAGTAATCCACAAGGAGAAACTCGCGGAATCCTTCGAAGTGAAGACGGGAGAAATACGAGGCTGCCTACTCTCTTTAACGATTTTCCTAATTGTGGTAGACTGGATAATGTGACAAACAGAGGGCAATGAGGAAACAGGCATAAAATGGACTCACACAAAAAGAGAACTTGGAGGATCTGGACTTCGCCGATGATAATAAATGTCTGATTTCTCACAAACTGGAAGATATGCAAGTGGCAAGCAACAAGTTGGCAGAAGAAGCATCCAGAGAAGATAGGACTTCAGGTGAACATAGAGAAGACAGAGGTGATGATGCAGACTCATGACCAACAACAACAGAAAACAATCAGAATAAATGGGAGAAACCTGAGAGAAGTAACCACCTATACATAACCGGGAGGCATCATCGTTTCAATTACACGAGGAAGAAACTGACGAGGATATCATCAAGGCGAGGATCGGGAAAGCAAGACAAGCTTTCATCTCTCTCAAGTCTGTATGGAAATCAGCAGCACTCAGCATCAAAAATAAGATCCGTATTTTCAACTCCAATGTGAAGTCAGTGCTACTATACGGATCAGAGACTTGGCCAGCGCGTCACGAAGGCCACTTCAAACAGACTACAGACCTTCATTAATAGCTATTTTCGCTCAGTACTCAAGATCAGATGGTCAGAAAAGATCAGCAACATGGAGGGAGCGAACCAACTAAGGAGGAACCATTTTTGCAGCAAATATGCAGGGAGAAATGGAGGTGGATTGGCCATACTCTGAGAAAACAAACCACCAAGTGACATCACACGCCAGGCCATCACCAGAGTGGAACCCAGTTGGGAAGAGGCGAGTTAGTCGTCAGTGCGAGAGTGACATGGATTAAGTCATATGAAGAGGATATGAAAGCATATGGGCATACGTGGAACCAGGTGAGAACGTTGACGGAGAACCGAATGCAATAATGACGTGCAGCTGAAGTCCTATGTTCCCCTAGGAACTAAAGAAACAATAATAATAAATAAAAGAATTGAACGACTTTGACCACAGATTGATACCAGTTAGAGAAGCAATGAAAACAAGCACTCCCTGGTTTTCAACGCTTCTCTGTTGCTAATCTTTTCTGGCCAATAAATAAAAGAATTGAACGAATTTGACCACAGATTGATACCAGTTAGAGAAGCAATGAAAACAAGCACTCCCTGGTTTTCAACGCTTCTCTGTTGCTAATCTTTTCTGGCCAATAAATAAAAGAATTGAACGAATTTGACCACAGATTGATACCAGTTAGAGAAGCAATGAAAACAAGCACTCCCTGGTTTTCAACGCTTCTCTAACTGATATCTTTTCTGGCCATGTGATCTTGAGTAGTATTGAGCGAAGACGACTGTTAATAAAGGTCTGTGGTTTGTTTGACATGCTCTTTATGACGCGCAGTGCAAGTCTCTGATCCGTATAGTAGCACTGACTTCACATTGGAGTTGAAAATCCGGATCTTATTTTTGATGCTGAGTGCTGCTGATTTCCATACAGACTTGAGAGTAATGAAAGCTTGTCTTGCTTTCCCGATGCTTACTTTAATATCCTTGTCAGTTCCACTGGCCTGTAGTTGAAACGATGCTTCCCAGGTGGGTAAGTAAAAGAGGTTGTTTCTTTCAAGTTCCTTCCATTTATGCAGATCGTTGTCTGTTGTTGTTGTTGTCCTTGTCCAGGAATCTTCATTACCTCTGTTTTCTCTATGTTCACCCGAAGTCCTATCTTCTCTGGATGCTTCTTCTGCCAACTTGTTGCTTGCCACTTGCATATCTTCCAGTTTGTGAGAAATCAGACATTTATTATCATCGGCGAAGTCCAGATCCTCCAAGTTCTCTTTTTGTGTGAGTCCATTTTATGCCTGTTTCCTCATTACCCACTGTTTGTCGCATTATCCAATCTACTGCAATCAGAAAAATCATTGGCGATAGTAGGCAGCCAGCTTGTCTTACTCCTGTCTTCACTTCGAAGGATAACAGATAAATGCAATAAAATAATGATGGTCAGATGAAATGAAGTAAATATACTCTTCTTCTCTTTAATTTATCTGTCTCAGACTTCTTATACTAGACAGTGGGCCACCAACAATTCAACCAATCATGTGTCAGAAGAAATATGCACAGTTTCAAAGGTAAATATATAACTCAATCAGTTTTATCTAAACATCAGTTCACAACCAATCAAGAGAGTAGTCTAATTCTATTTTTGAAAAATAGAATTACAAGTTGATAGACAGACACCAGATGATTTAAAATGCATCCTAAAAATACAATAACACGTCTTTATAACCATCATTTGAAAATGCCATAAACACCATATACATTGCCATCATCTCCTACTGGTAATAACGGTGTCACTTTTAAGTCCAGACCACAATCTTTTCTCTTCACTCCTCTCCTTAAAGAATGCTATTCGATATAATTATGATTAAATTTCTTGTGGAAAGATGATAATACGTGAACAAAGACTTCCAAAGTTCTCTTTGAAAACATCCAGTTTCATTTGTTTTCTAATTGGATTCCCAATCACCCTAATCACAGTCAATATGATTCTTGTCACAAAACGAGAATTTCCACATCTTCAAAATATTTATCAAAATATAGACGGAAAGCTGAGTGAAATTTGTGAGCTATTTTTACACACAATACCAAATCAAACATTTGCAAAACAATTTGAACACTATTCAACTGAAAACCATCATTTATTAAACAAATGGACACCAATGAGCAATTGTAAATTCCCCTTGAACACCTTAAAATATTCATTTTGGTCTAGTGAAGAGGAAATCAATTTTCCAATAGGATTTGCTTTTGCAGTTTATGAAGATATTGATCGTATAGCTCGTCTCCTGCGTCTTTTGTATCGACCGCATAATTTATACTGTATACATGTGGACCGGAGTACTTCAGACGAATTTTATCAATCAGTAATCCACCTGGCTAGTTGTTTTGGTTCAAATGTTCAAGTTATTAATCGTTCACAGAGTATTACAGTGAAATGGGGTTATTTTTCTGTATTGGATTCATTTTTAAAGTGTACACAACTGATGCTGAATAATACAGAAGTTGATTGGAAGTATGTATTGAATACAAATGGAAAGGAATTACCATTACGTACAAACTGGGAATTAGTGAAAGCTTTGAAAGCTTTAAATGGAGCCAATGTTATAGGCGGTACAATGAAAAATGGACCAAAAGGTAGAATTCCTAAGAGGAAACCATCTTTTAATGTAAGTTTACACATCTGCATTTGACTCTGTACCTAGGTCTCTCTTGCTAAGTAAGCTTGCTGCAACACAGACTGAGAGCTGGACAAATGAGTGGTTGCATTCCTATTTTTCTGATAGGAAGCAGTACACCGTCTACAATGGAAAGTCCTCCACTACCTCACTTACTTTAGCTGGTGTTCCTCAAGGTGCTGTTCTTTCTCCTTTTCTGTTTTCTTTTTTCTTACATAACTTGCCCCATTCTGATGTAGCCACTTTTGTCAAGTATGCTGATGACCTCTCTGTCTCCATGCCTGTCAACTCTAAGTCAGATTGTTCCAAATTAAATAACTTTCTCTCGGAAATTAGTCAGTGGTCCTCTTCAAACGGTCTTAAGCTGAATCCGTCTAAATGTCAGGTAGTAAATTTCACTTTCAGACGAAAACGTGACCTACAACAACTAGCTAGCTCACATGGTCCCACTATCATTGACGGCATAGAGGTTGAAATTACATCTAATGTCAAGTACCTTGGACTGAGTATTTCCTCCGATCTTTCCCGGTCCTCTCACATCTTGCTAGTTACTAGAAAGATGTTTCGCTTAACGTTCTACGTTAGGAAGTCAAGGCAGTCTGGAATAAAGCAGTCTTTGCTTTCTCAGTTTGTCAACTCTTGTATTCTAACCATCCCTCTTTACTGCTCCCCATTAATCTTTCCTGGACTACTTAAGAAAGACTTTGCTTTGCTGCCTAGGGCACTAAAAGCTGTTAGTAGGGGAAGTGGGATTTCGTTAAACCAACTGGTTAACACCATTGTGGATAGACATATAATGTCATGTAAGAAACTAGCGAATACTATATTGTCAGACCCTGAGCATCCTCTCTATACGCAGCTCTCTCCTTGCATTTCATCTGGTAGAACTAAAAGCAACTATAGGAGGCTATATGCTAGGACTACCAAGTACAAAACTCCACAATACCTTATCTGGCACAGCTGTTATGTGATGAGAAATCCGTTAGGTATGACACAATCAACTTACTGTGGCACTCTAACAAATAGTTCCCATTAGCTTTTGTTCTCCTTTCTTTATTACTATTATATTGTTGTTCACATCTTCTATTACACACTAATTTTATATTTCATATTCCTGTGGTGCATTGTTTAAAATGTTTGAAATAAAGCTATTATTATTAAAATATGCTACAAGTAAATCCAGCATGTATAATGAAATAAGTGTAAGATACTTCTTGTTTTGTATTGAATACAAATAAGCCCAAAACAGTCAAAAAAACAAAAAGTTTTATAATTTGAATTTGATAACTGTAGATGAAACTCACATAGGTGACACTGATTCTTCATTATAATGTCTACATGCCAAAAGTAAGTAGTATATAGCAAATCTGCAAGACGCTTATTAATAATTCTGCAAAATTTAAAAGATGCACTGGACGCAGAACTCCGCCCCACCGATCAGAACAAGCTGGATTCAGGAAAGGCAAATCATGTGCTGACCAAATCGCAACTCTACACACCATCTCCATTGAACAAAGCATAGAATTGCAGTCAAACCTCTATGTGAACTCCGTCGACTTCGAGAAGGCCTTCACCAGACAGTGTTGACCGAGAAGTAATTTGTAAACTGCTTCAATATTATTCAGTGCAGTGCCCAAGTATTTATCAACCTCATTCAACATCTTACTACGTGACAATGGTAATTGTCAGGTGATCCACAGTGGGAACCTCAGCGAGGCGTTCGAAGTGAATGTAGGAGAAAGATAAGGCTGCCCACTTACTATCGCCGATAATATTCTTAAGTGTGGTGGACTGGATTATGCGTTAGACTGTGCATTGGGGTGGGTGGGAAGACAGGAATATGTTGGACCGATTAGAAGACTCTAGGAGATCTGGATTTCGCAGATGATATATGTCTAATATCACACAAACTTGAACACTTACAGGTGAAAAGCAGTAAACTGGCAGAAGAGGCTGGTAGCGAAGACAGGATAGCAGGTGAACACAGAGAAGACAGAAGTGATGCAGATAATCAGACAACAGCACCAATCACCATCGACGGGAGAGACTTGACAGAGGTCACTTCCTTCACTTATCTGGCCATTAAGCACGGTTCCAACCACAGGCATTCAGACAGCATGGATGAAGATGTCACAGCAGGCCAGAATCGAAAAGGCACGATATACCTTCATCAACCTGAAACCAGTTTGGAAATCTTCTGCACTGCACTTAGCCAGCACAAAGAACAACATTCGAATTTTCAACACAAATGTGAAGTCAGTCAATTCTTCTCTACGGGTCAGAAACTTGGCCAGCGTGTCGTGAAAAGGATTTCCAAATGGGGGCTGCAGACTTTTATCGACAGCTGCCTTCTCTGGCTCCATACTGAAGATCAAATGGCCAGCCGGCCAGAGAGAATTAGCAACAAGAAACTCTGGCTGGGAAAAAACCAACCAAGAGCCGACTATTCAACAAATATGTAGGAGAAAATGGAGATAGATTGGACATTCATTAAGGAGGCCGTCGAATGACATCCCATGCAATGCAGACCACTGCTTGAGTGGAATCCCAATAGGAGGCGATAAGTGAATCGTTCGAGGGTGACATGGAGGAGATCGTGTGTTGGGGAGGAGGAGATAAGACATTATGGGCAGTCATCAACCCAGCTGAAGAGAGAGGCAAAAAATAGAACAAAGTGCAGATGTGTTGTTGAATCTCTATGTTCCGCTCGAAACTGAAGGGAATGGTGATAATAATAATTGGGGTGTCCGTTGGTTTAAAGATTGATTTCGTGGTAAAATCATCTTCTGGATAAGGTTAAAAGTTTAGACCAATAGCCTTCATTTATTTAAAAATTTATCATAAATAAATGTTTATAATAATTTATATAGTATAATGAATTTTTTTTATTTTTATATATTTACTAACGATATTCCTAAATTATTATAATTAGACTTCTTTGCTTATTGAAGATGGTGTGCTTCAAGATGCTGTACTTCCTGTATTTCCGATACTTTTTTCTTTTTACATGACTTACTGTATTCTTCTGAAGTCAATTCACTTAAATGTGCTGATGATCTGACAATTTTTGTCTCCGAGTTGTTTTGGCATTAGATTGTTTTGATATACATAGTTTCCTATTTGAGGTTAACCGGCAGTCTTATTCAAAATGGTCTTAGACTGAACACTCCTACAAATGTCAGACTGTTAACTTTAGTTTGAGGCGAGAGTAAGCCTTGCATCAACTGATTCAGTCCCATGATTCTTGCAATATCAACGGCACCTTCGTAGGAAATAAATCAAATATTACCCTTCTTAGTATCGATTTGTCTTTAAATCTGTGCTGGTCGTCTGATATCTTGTCGATTTCTGAGAAAATCTTTCGGTCGACTTATTATATAAGGAAGCTGACACTTTCTAGCATAACTCAACATTTTCTCTTACAATTTATCACTTTATGCGCTCAACCCATTCTTCTTTAATGTTTCTCCTTGTTCTTTCCTGAGCTTCTTAAAAAGAGACTATGCCATATTACATAGAACACTGAGGGCTGTAACCAGGCTTATTGGTATGCATTCGACTCAATTAACGGACATTGTTGTTAATAGGTATTTTAATTCCTGCAGTCAGTTGGCTAAAGTCCCCTTGCTTGATACCGAACACCATCTTTATTCGCAACTTTCTCCTTGTATCACTTCAAGTAAAAGCAGAAGAAATTTCATAAGAACTTGTGTTCTTACAGCAGAATAACAAAACAATTCAGTCATACCGTATTTAGCACGGGTTTTGTGTGAAGAGGCGAATGTCCAAAAAAAGCTTATAAGCTTTCTAAAAAGTTAAATAAAGAGAAAATTATAACCAAAATTATTATTACATATATTACTGCTTATATTAACTTTCAGATTTTGATTTTTTTTTGTTGATTTTTGCTATTTTATATATAGATTTCCAAAAGGAAATAAATAGCTGCAATATGTACAGTACTTAAAATTTTGTTCTTTTTGAAAAATTACTGCTTGGAATAAAGTGATTATTACTAACCAGTATCAGTAGAAGGATGAGTGAAAGACAAAGAGCTGTTTCCTTTCATTTCCAGACTGCTTAAACTATTTGCATCCAGGAGTGTGAAGGAGACCCACAGGCCTCATAGTAAGCCTATCAAAATGCTTTGGAAATTAACACATTTAAGAGAATCGTTATGAAAAGAACTATAAACATAGTTGAGTCCTCATAATTCTCGCACTTGCATTTTTGTCTAATTTCTGCTGACGAATAGCTTAAGGGTCTTTTTCGTGAAGTACTGATTGAGTTTAGGTAGTCATCAGTGTAGACCAATTAGATAGTAGTGATAGTCACTCATGGATGACGGCAAATGGCGTAGATGGTATGTCTCTAACAATCAACTGGTTCCGAACAGGTGGCGGAATGGGAATCCGATAACACGTAGTTGGAGTTAAAAAAAAACTGTAGATTTTCAAGGCGACTGAATAATGCCAACTGATTTTTAGTGCTTTTATAGATGATAATGGTCCGTATGGAAATCTAATCTCTAATTCTAAATACATTAATTACTGACATTCCTTTTAAACTAATATTTATTTAAGCTTAATAACTTTCATTTTGCATGCCTCAACAGACCTGTGGAAGTGGAAATCTATACCACATGCCATCAGTTTATTATTGTATTTCTACTAAATAATTATAATAAATATAGTAAATATCCAATGGATGTTTGTGAAGTATCACAGATTACTTCAAGTTATTTTATCCCATGTTGGCTAAACCAGCTTGTTTTGATAGACTAATCAAAGGCTTAAGATAAAATAAAACTTTAAGTTACTAATGACAAGGAACAAATCCCTCATATTTTCAGCAGTTATAACACGATCTCTCATCACTAATCACAGTGTACATGCACACATCCACTTGTAACATGAACCATTTCAAATAAATTTACCTCTGTAGCTTTTTATTGGATCTACAAAATGTCACAACTGCTGTCGAACAGTAATCTGGGCATCGTTGTGCTTTTTTGAAGTCAAGACACTTACTATCTAATCACTGTTTGAATTGTAAGATTTGTAATGGTAAAGTGTCAGACTGATAAAATTCTATTATTATTATTTTATTCCTTAACACTCGCGGTGGAACACAGGACTTCAAGCTAAAGTCTTGAAGTTTCAGTAGCGGTGGTGTTTAAGCTTACGGGATGGGGTTGCTAGCCTCATGTCCAACCTTCCCTCTTTACCAGTCTGATTACTGGCTAAGTGAGGCAAGGGGTTGCGTTGGCCAGGTATCGGACTCCGAACCACATGCGTGGTTGGCGTGCATTCTACCTCTGTGCCACCGATCCACACTGATAAAATTTAGTGAAAGTCGAAAGCCAGTCATAAATCCTACCTTTGAACAACAATCGGTTACTATTATGACAGAGTGATACTGGATTGGGGGTCGGTTTAACTTGACCATAATGCGTCTCCAGACACGACATTAAAGCCAAGTGACCACTTGAAAATATCCTCCACACTAAGGCAGAAACAAAATTTAACCAGCCATGACAAACGCTTTATTAGACAAAATATATACTACACGAATATTTACAAAACCTCAGGAACTTAAGCCATAAATGAACGAATCAGGTTATTATACCAGTGTATGCATAAATCGTAACTTTATGACTATCAAAAGAAGCTGGTGTGTCGTTTTCACACTGTGGCAAAAGTAGTCCGTCATGACAGCATCTACTTTTCTAACACCTTCAAATACTGTGTTCAATGTTGGCTTTGCTACCGACATGCCAATATGTTGTTGTCAAAAATAACTGAGATGACCCTTAATCTATGTGGAATTTTACTTATTGTTAATGTACTAACTGGATGCAATACTGTAGTAAAATGCTGAGAATTCCATTCTGTATCACAAGTACTGTTTTGGAATAAACCAAATTATTATTTTGACTGGTTTACATCAGAAATATTTGCTCTGGTGTTATTTTCCAGAAGGTGCTTTCACATGGCTTTGTTTCTAATACATATGTATTTTTTCTTCACTGCATTTCCTTTACATTTAACAAGGTTACATGGGTGAAAGGAAGCTTTTTGGTTGCATTACGCCGAGAATTCGTTCAATACATACATACCAACCCAAAACCAATTGAATTATTAAACATTTTAAAAGGAGAAGAACATTTGAGAAAAATTCCCGATGAAATGTTTTTCAGTACTTTAGCTTATAATCCACAATTGAATGCTCCTGGTGGTTGTAAAGAATTTCACAGTCCTAAAGATAATGATCCTTCTACAAGATTTGTATCACGATATGTTGTCTGGAAACCGAAGTATTGTGCCACTGGCAAGCGATATCATACAATCTGTATGTTAGGTGTACAGCATCTTTATAATTTAAGCCGAAGTGAAGAATTTTTTGCTAATAAATTTTACACTGGTTTCTATGATACAGCATATGATTGTCTTGAATATTGGATATTAAAAAAGATGAAAAATGAATATTTAACTGGTAGAGTTGACGCTACATTCAATGTTCAATTTTATTCTGAATTATATTGTTCAAGGAATCATAACTAATCATGTATTGATTTGTATATTTTGTTTTAATAGAGATTGGGGATCATGATGATGATGATGATAACGATGAACAGGAACTTTGTGTTATAATTCTTTTTCAAGTATTACTTTAACATATTATTATGGATGTCATTCTATCGTCAGGGTATATACATTGTTAACTGTAACCGGAAGGCCTTACAATGTAATCTTTAACTTTAGGCCTGCCAACTACAGATTTGAATATTCTTCTAAAGTTTCTCAATACATCTCCAGGAAACCGGTTAGTTACGCTGCTTGAACGACTTCGAGCTCATTCCCGATAGGTTTCAACTAGAAATAACTCTCACAATGGCTGCGTGGCCATCTATCATGTTAGACTTGAGGTTTAGCCACACTACCTGCTGAGTCGTTAGGCTGGCCGACCTAAACTGGTAGCCAGGCTGTTCTTGACACCATGCCTAACTAGAGAAAGAAAGAATATCTGACGGTGTTCTTGGAAATTTCGTAGATCACTTTAAATATACAATACTAGGGAGATTCCAGTTATTCCATAAAACTTATTGCTATTTGGAAGTTCCACAATTCGAAGTGAAAATTCACCAAAGTTTCCTTTGAAAACCAAGATTATTCAAACCACAATAAACTGTCTACTTGATATGACCAATAATAATCAAGAAAGCAAGCGTAATCATATTATGATGGTATACAGCACTGATTGATATGTGTAGCTGGAAAGCACTTATGTCAAGCAGTAGTGCTTGCTAGTCAGATCGAAGTGTGATCTGTAAAGCAATCTCGCCTCTTTGGGGTCGAGCTCATCAACAGTGTACCGGGGTCAACTCATCCTAGAGAATCTGATTTGTTCAAACTACTTGAATTCTGGCTAGCAAGCAATGCCGGTTGATGTGAACGGTTTTTAACTACTGATATGACTCAGTAGTATGTACCGTCATGTATTAAAGCTTCGGTATAGTTTAAGCGACTCATATTAATTAATATTGTTATCTAGGGTCATATGCATCCTCTTTTGAATAACAAGGAAGTGTATAACACACTATTTATATTTTGCTCTTACAGTGAGTCATCAAAAGAAAATACTTATGCACAGGCAAAAATTTATGTTTGAAAAAAATATTAAAAAGAACAGATTAACTACATGTAAAACTGTATTATTCCGAGCTTTAATACTTTCCACATTGGGGTAACATCCTTTTGTGAAGACCTATAGACTTCCCAAAGACTAATGCTAATTCCGTGGATATCTACACCACTCAAAATAGCGAACGATATCTGAATTTTCAACGCTAATGTCAAGTTAGTGTTTCAATACGGTTTACAGATTTGGCGCAGGCATCACAAAAAGCATTTCCAACAGCCTGTAGCAAACTTTTAATACCACCTGCCTTCAGTCACCCAGTAGTGAAAATTAAATGTCAGAAAAGATGGGCAACAAGGAACTCTGACAGAGGATTAGCCAACAGCCTATGGTTTGTCCAGTGAACATGCATAAGGAGATGGATATTGATTGGACGTAGGGTTAGGCGACAGTTGGGTAACGTCAAATGCTGGGTAGGCTATCGAGAGGAACCTGAATGGGGAGGGATGGGTTGGTTATGGATCCTAGTGAATCTTGGAGGTCATATGAAGATAAAATAAACGTTTGTGGATAGTTATGGAGCCAGATTAAAGTGCTGGTAGAGAGCTGAATGGAGTGGAAATGTCCCACTGAGACTAAGTGTTTCATTCGGAATCTATGGAATGAATAACAGTACCTCAATTTACACTTCTGGCTAGGGAAGGCGTTAGTTCGAAATTTGTGCGACACATTCTAGATACCTCATTCAATTAACTTTTGCAGCTTTAAAATGTGACAGAAACAAAGACATAAACTTAATCTTTTTCATTTCAGTAGTATGAGGAGGGTTTTATCTTAATTGAAAGTCAGCACTTGTCTTATGGGTTCCTGATCCTTTTGGGGAATTTGACAAAATAGTGCAAATAGATGAAACAGGAAGAAATAAACACTTTGAGTTGTTCATCTCCTTTGATTCCTCTTCATTGGCTAATTCATGTTCATATTATGGGTTTTTTAGGAGGGATTTAGATTAGTTTCAGTATAAATTTCGTTATGAACCACCACCACATGGAGATCACTGAAAACCAGAGGACATTGGAAAACTGTTTCATCCACGTTTGGGACTCTTCGACTGTGCAAACCCATGACTCCACTGGGGACTGGAACTGGGACCTACAGGGTACGAAGCATGTCTATTAACCCTTCTGCCTCTGGGTCTGTATTCAGTGACGCTTTAATTCTAACTTATTTCAGTTCGTCACACAGCCGTACCATCGACTAACATCCAATTAACCCAGGTGTGGTCGACCCTACTGATCACGACTTCTGATTAAAACTTCAGAACATTCGTCCAATAGCCATTAATAGGTTGGAGGTCGGTATTCAGACTCAGGGTTTTACGTAGGAATTTGGATTAATTTCAGTGTAGATTTCGTCACGAACTGACATAATTTAGTGAGTCACTGGAAATTTTCAAGTATTGGTTTTGTAAGGTTTTTGTTTGATCGGTTGTAGGATTTCATCATGAGCTGACATCAGTTAGAGAACCATTGGAAATCTCTCAAGGAGTACTGGACAGCTGTTTCGTCCTAGTTCATGACTCTTTGACAGTACGCACCCACCACAGGGGGTTCGAACCCACGACCTTCTGGTTACGAGGCGAGCTAGCTCGTAGACCATTAAGCCACTGGGACCCGATCCAATGACTAGCCCATGAATTCTAACTTCTGCCTATTTCATGACAGAGAGCGACCACTTCGCAATGTCTTTTTCGATGAGCTACTGCCTCACCTTCAACCTGCTGTACCCTACTGGTCACGGTTTCCCACTAAAACCCCAAGTTCACTGCCTGAATAGGGCCAGTCACTAGAGAGCATCAGATCAATTTTCAAGTATTGGTTTTGTAGGGATTTTGTTTGATTGGATGGAGGATTGCATCATAAGCTGACACTGGAAACGAGGGAGCCCTGGGCATTGAAATGAGTCCTCACGGAGTAGTAGATACTCACGTAATACCGTTTTTTTAGTCAGTTTTACTAATATATGCCCAAAATATGATACTTTGAATGAGAAAATTATGTTTCATAGTTTCTGTGTATCATAAGGCATTCGATAAATAACTGAAGATGTATAACAGTCCAAAGCTACACATTACTTCACATAGAATGAGCAACTTGTGGTAGCTAAATAAACATAAAATATCTATTCTCTAATAGATTAAGGGTCAAAAATACTTTTTTTTTAATACAGGAGATGAATAACCCATATAATAACATAATACACACTCTTTTGTACTTTGCCCTAAACACACTTTATATTTTGCTAATTGTATGTATAAAGTTCGTAGTCACGAACAGTGTTTTAAAGTTATCAGAACAATCGATAACTTGTGATGTGAAAATCTCGATGAGACTGTTACCTGATGCTCATGATGTAGTAGTTATATTAATCCATCCTACTTGAGACAACTGACTTCAATTGATTTACACTCCTCAAGTCAATGGAGTTTCTCTGGTTTCCTGAATTTCAGAAAGCTTATCTTGCATATTTTCTCGACAGCATGTCAAAGATATCCAACTTCTTTATGTGTTAAGTAACTGATTCAAGTATGCATAGTTAGCAGCTGTACCAATATCTGTTTATTTCGTATTTCCTGTTTCACTTATTTATACCGGACCAAAAAGACCGGTCTCTGATAACAATGTTGACTCCTAACACAGACACTCCGAAAATGTGTGGAGGTTAATACGTTATCTAGTAGATGGTGACTAGCAGAGGAATCCAAAATGCTCATTTCGTACTATTCAGGACTCTTCAGTTGCATATACCTTCATCCCAAAGGAGTGATGGCATTCCCGCTGAAACTTGAACGTAGCATCCATCATCGCAAATACTAAATCATTACATACTAGACGATTGGGTCAGCGAACAACCTCTTGTGTGATGAGTATGTATGTATAACGCTTTGGAGTTTAAAGTGATAGGTTCTACGTTTGAGTCTTAGTGGGAAAAACTGAGGGTAAATGTACATCTAGGTGACAAATAGTGAACAAGGCCGAATGGACACCCTGGATCTCACTGCTAGCCAACATCAAATAAATAACACCAGCTTATACTAATAAGTTATTTTAACCATATTTATCTGCTTGCTTGCTTCATAATAAAGGTTTTTTTGTATTTCCCAAAACAAAACGATATTGCTGCTTTTACTGACGTTTCGCTATTTAATGCTACTAACAGCTTTATCAAAGTATTATTAAACCAGAATTTACAAATTTCAGCTTATATATAACAATTTAGTCATCGTTCCTCAGCATAGGGTCATTTTTGCGTTGTCAGGTTGGCTAACCAGGTGTAGATTGTTGGATTCGATAAGTGTATAAAATTATAAAAGCAGCATATGTGTTTACATGGTGAAACTGCTTATCCCATTCGTGTTGATTTTGTCATTTCATGAAGGAGAGGGGTGTTGTAACCAGGTTAAATCCTGTTTTAGTCCATCATTCCTATTCAGACAATTTTGATTCCATTTTGGTAATATAAAGTCCTTCTGATATCAGACGTTCTTAGTGATTGCTCAAATTTTTCTGGATGATGATTTCAATATTGTCAAAATCAATTTTGTGGCCTGATTCTATAGCGTGTAGACCTATGGCTGATGATTTTCCAAGCTTTTCTAGTTCAGCTGGATTTCTCGGGGGTTGAACAGATGCTCTGCGGTGTTCATTTCTTCTGATTTTGATTTCTCGAGATGTTTGTCCGATGTATGTTAAAAGTGAACTTGGTTTGGACATATATTTCTGATATCCTGTTCGCTTGCGTGATTGTTGGGAGAAATCACTCCAGTTTCAGCGTCTCCAACTTGATTCGCTTCAACTTCTTAGGCGCCTCTTCCATCTCTGAAGATAAATACAGACAGTGGAGGTAAAAACATTTAGTTAAATTATTGAAATAACCTTATTAGTGGTGAGACCGGATGACTTTTAACACCCATTGACATATTTTAGAGCCCTGTAAAATTCAAGAAAGCAGATATTCTTGGCAC